GATTGCATGTTTCAAAGGACAAAGTTCGTGAGTGAAGATTGTTATCCATAGAGGAAATGTTTGCCTCTTCGTCCCCTACTTTTTCTTTGAGTGGAGCCTGTGTACTATTTCCAAGCGTGAATGCAGGCTATGTATTTGCCCATAAAGTTTGCACCGGTCGTATTTTCCGTCCCAACTTTGGCCGCCTCTGCGCCGCTCCAAAGTTTGCTCCTTCGCCAGTCGCCGACCCTCCGTTTGACGAGCTGAGTGGCTGACAGCCGGGCATTCCTCCGCTCTCGGGCGCTCAGACAGGTGCTCGTCCTGTCCTGGACCCACCGCGACCTGCCCCGGCCGCCGAGGAACTGTCAAACCCCGGCGCTGCGCCGGACCGGGCCCGCGCGGCTCGGCGGACGCTCGGGCCGGTTCCTTTTTTGGCAGCGCCGCTCGGCCTCTGTGGGAACGCTGATGGTTCTGCCGATAGAGCGGCCTGGCGGGACGGCGACCGGGGGCAGCGGCCACGCACAACCAGCTGGATGCCACGTCTTTGAATGTCCTCCAGCGTCGACCAAAAACAACGGGCAAATGGTCTTGGCGAACGCATTCCAGACCACTGTGAAGACAGGCCAATGTCAACTTGGACGCAGAAGACGCAGCGCTGTAGCGGAGTTCGGTTACTTTGAATGATCGTACTGGCGTCAATATCATAAAACATCTCTCATGGTGCTGTCACACACATCACGGCGGTGATGTCTCGGTTCTTTGATGTCGACTGATGTGGTCTGACGTCAGCGATTATCAGACGGAGTCGGAATCGCCCTTCCGAAAGGCCTGGTGACTGGTCACCGCCTCCACCCTTCTCTGGCGCGATCGCCGAAGCCAAATGGAGCAAGTCGGATATCTGAGCTGAAGTTGTGAGCCTGTGAGCCGCCCACGTCAAGTCTAAACGTTCGCCGATGGTCTTGACGAGCTGCAACGGCCGTGCGCTGGGTCGAAATGGTGACCGGTGCCGATTTGCAACACCTGGCGACAAAGGGTAGGTAATTCCTAGCGACAGTTCGGCACATCTGCCGTCGATCAGCGGTTCTTTGTGGCAGCTGCTGCAATTTGGTGACATTTTCTGACAGTTTGCAGCATCTGCTGGCAATATCTGACGTCTAACGACAGCCGTTGCATGCTCGCGTCGGACTAATGACGTGCTGTCCAACCCCGGTCACGCGATCAGACTCATATCTGTCCTCTCTGTCTCATCTCTCCACCCGCCTCGCTGTCTCTGTCTTCCATCTCGGCCTGTCACTGTTCCCCGTCTCCATGTGGCCCACTGCACTTCGTTCTTTAATCAATGCGTCGCATCGCCCGCTTCTCTGCAACGTATGCATTCCGGCATCGCAGGCCCGGAACTGTCGTCTTCCTTTCAGACATCCCCGTGTCCCAATTCGCGACGGCTTCAGAATGCACCGCCCACATGTTTCGCCGTCGCCTGTCTCATCAAGAGTAGCGGTGGGCACTGAAACGTGCTTAGGCTTCTATGTTTCGGCGCGTGTTTCGCCCCGAGTTTCTGGGATGTTTCGAAGGCGTGCTCGAGTGCTGCATTAGTTTTGACAGCGACCGTGCATTGACCCAGATGCTCTTGTCTCGAGACATGCTGCAGTGCTCTCACCGAATCGCACCGAAATTAGTAAATCAAAAGAACAGGAGTAAAGCATACCGCTACCCATTGGGATGCTCTTTTATCTTGCGTGCCTGGTATTCCTTATCCGTTATTCATCACCCTCTGACGGCAGTCTCACGTCATTGACGCCCCCTGACGTCACTATGCGTGTGCGTCACGCACCGCTCTGACGCCCCGCGGGCGGGAGAGGTCAGCGCCCCAAATCCGCTGCGTGCCAGCCGCGTGTAGCCGCGCCGTCCATCTAATGCGCGTGATGACACCTCACGTCGGGAGGGAGCTGAAACGGGCCGGCCATCGGCTCGATTGCACTGGAGTTGGTCCAAGTGGTAGCCTGCCGACACACGCAGCGCGTGTGGATGTATATTATAACAAGCCGCGCTGCTGCCACTCGTGTTCCGTGTTTGGGTTGTGGGGGAGGGAAGGTGGCTTCACTCAGCTGTGCGGGACGGGGGTGGTATGAATGTAATATACACCACACGTGTTCTAGTTGTAATCGGGACCAGGAGTGTGGGTGTGGGGAGGGAGGGGGAGGAGGGGCTAAGCGGAACGCTTGTGGTTGGGAGTGCATGTACGAAGCGTGTAACTGTGCATTGTGCAGTTTGCACTGTGCAGTTAGTTGTTTTCCTCACGTCAAAGGTGCCCGCCCGCACCTTATGCTAAATTCCAATCATATTCCGTACCAGCTAGCGTGCGTGTGGTGTGAATTGATAGTCCCGGTGTCTTAATTGGCCATACGCTAACGGCTCACGATCTGTGTTTTCCTGCTGGCTCCAAACGCTCACGTGTGGCTCCTCGTGACCGCGCTCGTCACGGATACACTGAAATGTAGACTGAACGCCTGCCAGTTGGCCACGCGATACACACCTGAAGAATTTGGAGCGATGCCACGGAAAATAAACACTCCGCCGGCTTCTTTAATAGAAATACCTCGTTTTAATGGCATTCATAAGTTTGCAATAAATCGTTCTGTCTTACTATTAGCTACCTGATCATCATTTATCCCGTCCCGATAAAGTAAACCAGCGCTAACTCATTCTCCTGTCTGTTGACCTCTGTCGGTCTGTTGGCTGCTGTTTTCTGTGTCGAGACTCTCGGGAGCGTCTGTCTCCATCCTGTGACGCGATGGCTCCCCGGCCACCGTGGGACTGACACCAGCCGGACCTGTCTGGCCCATCTCCAGTAACGATGCTGCCACGTCGGCGTTCCCGCACGCCGGTGCCGCCCCCAGCGGACCGTCTGCCGGTGACCGATGGTCCTCCGTGACCCGAGACCCGCCCTGGCTGATGGTCCTCCGTTGACCGGCCCTTCCTACGCCTCCGATTCTCATCGTCCCGACCACGGTCGATCGGTGGAGATGAGAGTCGCCTGTTACATATCAATGTGCCTTTTGATTTGAGATGTCCTGATCTGGAGATGAATATTTAACTTTGGAATAGAAATCCAGCTAACGTTATATTTTACAATATCTCATTATCGTGTATGGATCATTATCTCACGCGATTGTGGTCCATTTGACATAACATTAGCACAGCGGCGTGAGTCCAGAAATGGAGAATCAGCTTGCTTGTCTTAACCCTTCCTCCCCTGTTGTCAATCAGTAGCAGGGGTGGCGAGCGACATGTGTGTCTCAGCTGGTCTCACTGGCCGCGCTGGCCCACGCCGCTCCACCCTGCTCCTCATAACACCGGATGTTGTGGCCCAGAAGCACCCTTGCCCGTCCACCGCCCGCCCGCCTGCCCGCCGTTCGCTGGTCGCCGCCGTCCGCCACCCTTCCGCTCGTCACCGCCGTCGCCGTCGTCGTGGTCGCTCTTGGTCCCTTCCTCTGTGTACCTGGGTCCGCACTGCCCGCGCCGCGACGTCCGCCGTGTGTACGCTCGTGTCAGATCTGTGGGCGGGCGCCACTCGGAGTGTTGTCCTCGGACGTTGACACGGTCATCGGATATTGACCCAAATACCGGCCGACGGTGCTGTCAGGGCGGCGGCTGTCATACGCGCCAGGTGCTGTCAGGGACGGACTGACTGCCAGGACGGTCGGGATTCAGTCTGACTGACTAGCAAGGTCGAGGATCAGCTGCAGCTGCTGTCATAGGCGTCAGGAGCTGTCAGGGAAAGGCAGTTTGTTACAACGGCCAGGACCCACTCCGTAATGGCCAGGGGCTGCAATGCTGTCATGCGTATGTAGGTTAGCCGCGTTAGCACAGGATGCTGGCAGTGGGGAGCATTAGCGCTCGTTCGCTAAGCTAATACGCTTCCACCGCGGGCTCTTTGCCTTCCACCGTCGCCGGCCTGGGACGTTTGTTGTCTTCGGCGGATGCTCTCCGGCTCGACGCCCAGACTGTTTGCTTGGCCGTCGAGTGGCCTCGGGCTCATGTCAGTGGGAAAATATGACTGAAGGATGACCGTGACAGGGTTATATGTCACGGGGATTAAGCTATATGGCATGATGGAGCTGTTGGCAGCTCCATATTTGGTCATCGGTCGGCAATGGCCACGACGCTACTGAATGGATTAGTGTATTTATCTGCACTCGGCGTGACTGGCTAGGTTCGGTGTGTTTATTTGTGGAAGATTCCGTTCTGTCTGCAACGTAAGCACATTATTCTTGACGGAGTGTTTCGACGGAAGCCTCAGGAACATGACATGATAGGTGATATCAAACAGCTAGATGTTGAACTTGTTTGCTGAATGACGCTCTCTGATCGAGCGTGCATAATGACGTGCGAGCTGTCTGCTGGCAAAATAAACGCAAGTCGGAAGCTGCGTCCTTCCCAATACATTGCGTTAGAGATCAGCTACGCTACCAGCCCAAACTTGACCTTTCATGACCCCGCTCTACCAGCGTCTATTGTGCGCGGGAACTTCATGTTTTGCAATACGCTTATGCGGGCCGAGACGCTACGTAGCGGCCATGACCTCGTGTCAGAATTTCTCACGCATTCACTGCAATATCCATCAGCACTCGTAAATTCAACCAGCATTGCCACCGGATCGCTTATAATTTCGTATGCTCGATCAATCTACTCCAGCCGGTGCCCTGCGCTCCCACCGCAGTTGGCATATTTCCCACACCAGCTCTCCGACCTCAGCAGCTTTCAGCAGCTTCAACCCTTGACCCGCTCTTATACACTCACACCCCACCGTACTGGCTAAACCACAAGTCTATGAACCCTTCTTCCGTGTCAATAGCATTGCAAGTTGGTATATGTAGGCAGCTCTCTGGCGTTGTACGCGCATCTTTTATTTTGCAAGATACAAATGCAAGCTCATGTGTTATACAAGCTCACGTGTTCTTCCATAGTTGCATGTTATGAAGCGCCCTCAGTCGCTAACTCTCCCTCGTCTTCTTCCACAGTCTCTGGTGCACGTCCTGAAGCACAGGCAGACGCTGACGGAGCCCGAGGTGCGCTACTACATGCGCCAGCTGGCCGACGGTGCCGAGTACATCCACTCACAGAGCATCGTGCACCGTGACCTGAAGCTGGGAAACATGTTCCTCTCGGATGAAATGGTGGTGAAGGTCGGCGACTTCGGCCTCGCCACGCGCATCGCCGACGAAAAGAAGCCGTGAGTACCGCTGGAAATGCTTAAGGGGGAGGAAGGAAGCTGCTTGATGTTGTGGAGAATCGTTAAATTTTGAGAGCTGGCCGTAATATTTTAAGCCAGTCTTGTAACTGGGTAGATGGGGAGGGGTCGTACTTTTTACTCTTCCGAGGCTGAAGCAATGTATGCTTGCAGATGTTTGCACGCGTTGAATCGTTGTCCTGCTGAGACGCAAGCATCAATATTGGATCCCGCATGCTATTGCACTTGCTGGAGCTGACATTTGCCAGCTGACGTTTTGGTTGACATAATGTTACTCCGCTGTCAATTACACGTCATCCTCTTGATCTAATCGTAACATAAACATGTTCTTTCACCAACACACGCAGCCGAGATCATTGATGTGACCAATGTAGGCCAAATTGAGACTCGCTGGACGAATTTCCAGATGAAAACATTCGCTTTCCAACGTTTATCTGCCTTATGGCGGCTCTTCTTTGATCTAAGTCGCTGGTCCTTGGTGCCGACACGGTGCCTGCCTTGTTTGACCTCCCCGAGACCAAACCAAACATGTCCGTGTCGCTGGCGGGTTTCCGTGTCCAGTGCCCACGCCTGCCGGCTGTGTTGAAACGCGGCTGTGAGTGGCGTGTGGAGACTGGAGAGTGAAGTGACTGGTGTCAAGGTCACGTCTGGAACGGATTTCTGCCGCTTCAGCCAGCTCAACCTCTGCAACGTTGGTTGTTGAATACGGGAGGGGTGGAAGTGACGTCACATTCTGACGTTACCTGTCCAGTGATGTCATCGTCATGACGTCACCAGGCGTCGGCGTCTTCTGAGACGGGCCGAGTCACCGGCAGAGCCAGGTCACGGTGCTTCGTGACGTCTCTCCCCTCAGTCGTGACGGCGCGCCGGCGATGACACGCCCACTCTCGCGGACCGGTCCAAATACGCCGCGGGCGTCGCCGGGCGGCGAATTCGCCACTCATTAGCGCCACGAACGTATCAGTCCAGCGCCGGACATGCCACATAGGCCAGCTGAGCGCCGCGCCGTGGTTTGTTGCCCGTTCTGCAGAAGGGTCACGCTGAGGTCACGATGCGCCCTGTCGGAACGGACTAATGAGGGACCCGAAACGGCGGGTTTTAATTGGGATTCCTCGCGGGCCGTGAGTCGTCGTGCCTCTTCGCGATGTTCGGCTCGGCGCAGCGCAGCAGCAAAAAGGCGAGCAAAACCGGCGGGCTGGTCGCGGTTGGAGATCGGTCGGGGCCGGGCGCGGCGGGCGGAAGTATTCGCTACGGCTAGGGTGAGCGGAGGCGGCGATTTCTTTTGTGCACGTCTGAAGCTGGATGCCCGACCAACCGTCATGATACGGCAGTTCTCCAGAGATCTGGAGTTGTCTCGTTTTCTCGCCATTGGTTTGTTGATATGCTGAACGTCTTTGATGTTCCGGAGATGTGCTCTTGTGGTTTTTAAAAGGCCCCGCCCCCCGCCTGCCACGCGTCATGCACAGAAGGATGGGAGGATTTCTGGAAGGGACTGTAGGCGCTGCAGTGTCCTTGCTGTCCGGCTTTGTGATGAAACAATGCTGCATTGAGGTCCGGTAGCTGGGTTTCGACAGCGCCGGCGACTTTGTGCACTAGCGGCAGCAGCGACGGTGGCAGCGCAACGTTTTCAGCGCAACGTTTTATGGCGACGTCCGGTGCCAGGTCATTGTAGCATGGCCGTGTCACGGGAGTGTAACCAGAATTACCCGGGCATGGGAGCGGGCGGCGACGCTGCGCCGGCGCGGGGCTCCCACCGTTTCTAATATGATTGTCGACGGGGAGGGGACTGCGGTCTCTCACGCCCACTCTCAGCTGATGACATTGCAGTCCCGTGAGACTGCACGCTGGCCGGCTCGATGTGACGAGACGCTGCTTTGTGGTATGTTACGTTACGTTGTGTTGCGTGATGTGGTAACGTTGTGACGGTATGTGAGCTGTGATAAAGGTGGTGCATGCCGTCATTCCTGAGATGATTCAGAGCATTGTGTAAACGGTAAACACCACCGTCTCATATGTTAATATGATAATGTATGTCCTGTTGCATCGCTGTGGCACGCCACTGCTGCTCGACATTGTTTCGTTGGAAATTGGAGTGCCCTCTCATGTCACAAGAGAGTGGTGTTTCTTGCTTTAAGACCGCTGTGTAAGAATTCCGCGAGTGAGCTTCACTGGCGAGTCTGCAATTGTCTTATCTTCGGTGTGCTGAATGTGGCCGATATAACCAACCTGAATCAGACTAAGCCGATGCCACTGCCGTGTTGTTAGTGAGTTGACTCTCCTTTGTGACAAGAAAACACCTTTAGCAGGTGAAGGAATTCGCCGGACGTGTATGACAAGGCTAAGCAGCACATGACAGGGACTCCTGGCAGAACAAAGCAGGGTAGAACAGTACACGACATACTTATCGCGATGTCATCCTGGCCAGTGACTTCTGACCGGGGTCCTCGGGTCAGCTAAGTGACCTGAACCACCTACTCCTCCCGTTGCTAGTGACCACCCTGGAGATGGTCGTCTTATGTTCCGGGCCCGTCATGAGCTGCACGAGCTGAAAGCTGTCCTGAGACGTCCGGTCACGACCCCAGACCTGCAGGCTCATATGGCGCCGGGCCGGACGATTTTATCGCCGTCTCGGCTCGAGCGCTGCAGCTTTAAATGGACCTCCAAGGATATCGCCGCTTCCCATTGGATGGACTGAGAGTGGATGAGCTGAGGCGTGGTGGGGATTGGGTCGAGGCTGGGGCTGGGAAGGAGAGGTTAAGTTGGGGCTGAGCTAGGATTGGAGAGGTTTCAGGAGAGGAAGTCTGCTTCCAACCTTCGTAGCGGGTCTGGACCAGCGATCATTCCGTATGACGTCTGGAACCAGCTGACAACTGGAATGAGGCGCGCTTTGATCACCTCGCAACGCCTCCTGACCAGGTCACTCAGTCTTCAAATCGATCCGGCGGCTGTGGGCTTGGAAAACATACACCCCTGACCCCGAGCCAACACCTGTGTCCCGCGTCTGGTGGCCAGGTGACCTCGTCTGATGTGTGGGCAACGGTGCTCGGCGCGTCAGAGCTGGCGATGATTAATAGGGCGTGTTGCACCAGCAGCGACCACCCTTAGGCCTGGTAACGATGTGATGAATATTGGCAGCACTGGTGAGTAACGGCTGCCGCCCGTCGCCGCCGCCGTCCGCCACCCGTCGGCCGCTGAAGTACGGGTGTGGCAAACCGTAGATGGTCGCGTCGTGCAGTCGGGCTGTGTCTGCAATGCTGCAGCCTTGTTGCCTCAGTCATTTCAGCCATGTCCGGCGGGGGCTGTGCCGGGTGGTCTGACCACTGACTGGATATTGACCAGCGGCCACCGGCATCGTCCACCCAGTCTACAGTCCGGGACATGACTGGCGTGTCCCGCCTGCCGTCTGGTGGTGGTCAGAGTGCCGTTTGTTTCGCGCTATGAGGTGTTCCCGATGTGGGTCTGTGGACACAAGCTGACGCGACAGACGGACACGGTGACTGAGCGTGATGCGCGAGATAGGGGCGTGGGATGCGGCAGGCTTGTGCCGCGCTGTTGACACATTGTCGGACCGGGCGGGGCGGCCGGAACAGGACGGGCGGCAGCGGTGTGGGCGGGACTGGTCGGAGCACGGCGTGAGGGCGGGGTCCGCACGGGCAGACCTGGGGCAGAAGGGGTGTGGTAGCTAGACCTTTGCACAGAGGCCACGCCCTGTGTGGGTTACTTCACGATGTGGTATTTCCTGGAGTTGCAGAATTACGAATCACATACTGCTACAGTCGTAGATTTCAGAGCTTCGGCTCTTTTTCGAGTTCCGTCACTTTGCTGTGAAATCGTGGTGTCCGGCGGGCCTACAGTTCCACCGCCGACTGTTCCACGGCCTGCCACCCCGGGCGTCCGGCGTGACGGGCTCTTTCACGCGCCGTCGGCGTCCACAGCGGCAACTGACCGCACCGTCGGCACGGGACCGGACCGGACCGGACCGCCGGACCGCATGTTAGCCCAGCGGTTTGCTATGAGCGGGCCGTTCAGTTGTATTCACTCTCGTCTGGATCCCGTTGTCCGTTTGTCTCTAATTGGGCAATGCGTTACGCACGCATTGTAATGCAGCTGTTACTCGCTTCGTCGCGGCTTATGGTGCGGAAGCTGTGACGTTAGCTACGAATGTTCGCTCTTGATATATGACTTAGGAACGTTTCTTTTCCACTGCCTTGCTGGCTCTACTGCCAGCGCTGTTTTCGGTTATTACCTTACTGCGGCCTTTATATAATATCCTGAACAGTGAACCCTCACCTCTCCCCTGCCGACGGTGGCTGTACTCTTTCACTGCTGTGGACAGTTTTCGGTCTGCTTCTCCTCCCGTCGTCCGCCGCTGATGTAAACAGAGGAGACTAATGTCCTCGGCCTGCTACCCATCACACCGCGGCTGCCACCGTGCGCCAGACCCGCGGCCGTCATATCTCATATCCATAATCCAAACCCAAACCTTCGCTCTACTCTCCAAACCCAAACCCTCCGCTCCCCTTCACTGCTGCCAAACATGGCATAAACTTTAGACAATGGTGGAGACATTCATTTCAAATCCATTTCGCCTATTTGTCGGATCAAGCTGCGGAGTTGCCAGTTTCGGTTCCGTGAAGGGCGGTTACCGTGAGCACCTTTGCCGTACCAGCCGTGCCAGACCGTTTGCGTCACGGTGGTCATACCGAGTCGCCACGGGCGTGCAGTGGAGCCGATTACGGACCCGGCAGCCGGCTCACGAGGCGGACCTGGTGTTAAGCCCCGCTCGACGGGAGGCAGATCAGGAACGTTAGTGCATTAGACGAGCCGCCCGTGTCGTCACCGCACTTCCAGGGCTTTTGTCGGGGCATTTAAATTTGTTACTTGAAGCAGGTGTGTCTTTTTATGGCTGCTAATGTTCACTTTCTCTCTCTGCGACATATCTGGTCGTTTCGTAACTTCGACTTCCTTGCTTTAGGCATTTC